AAAAAAAAAACTGAAAATTGTTAAAAATGCATTCAGTTAATATCATTACATGCATAAAATTAAAGCAGACACAGCGCATTAAACTGCCTGAAATATTAATTCCAATTAATTCCATTTCTTTCCTTTTAGAGAGTGCATTTTGTATAGGTCTATAAGAATAGGAGGCACATAATAAAAAACCTATCTTTTTATAAAGCGATACTTGCTCTGGCAAAATAAGGTCCGATGAGTATTTAATTATGTTAGCTGTCTTTGCAACAAAGCTGTCATACCTCAAGAACATCAGCGTACACTCCGGCCAGGTAGGTGCGAACCTTGGCCACAATGGATTTTGGCTTAATAGATGCAGCTTCATTGATGTAGAAGAGAGTGGCAGCAGCACCTGCCATCCAGTGGTCTGCAGGGAGAGGACATGAACCATTAAACCATATGTGCTAATCAGAAATCTTCAGTGCTTAAGTATTCATCTGATGTCCTCTTACTGCTGTATGTTTCCAAATAGATAGCTCTGCTGTAGCGGTAGCTCCATTGGTCAACTCTGAGTTTGAGGATCTTCACAGCAACGTTGCAAGCTGCAGCACTGGAGGTAGAGCATTGAAATATATGGGTGATACTATATTTAAATGTAAAATTATTTGCAAACATGAATGTAACTATCTAGGTTCTTACACAGAAGCAAAGTCGGGAGCGGTGTTCTTGGTCATGGACTTCATGTAAGAGTAGACAAAGCTAGCAACCTGCATGTTTGGCTCATTTATGAGGGAAGTAGCAAGAGTAGTCACCAGACCCATGGGCAGCTTGGTCTCAAACAAAACGATGGTGGCAGCCATACGGATTTCTGGATTGAGAGTCCTATCCATGAACAGCTGAACTGCCATTTCCTGGATCTAAACCACAAAAGTAAATGTTTTAAATCAAAGTGCATACAGTAAGATGTGCCTTGAGTGCATTTGTTGTAAGTAATGGCATTAATCAGAAACTCTGGTCTCACCATTCTGGGCTCTCTCTTTGCAATGTTTCTCAGGGCCAGAACAGCTTCAACTTGAACTCTGAGTGGCAGATTGGCAGCAGCACTGCCAAAGCCAGGCAGAAGCTTCATGATTGGCTTGAGGCTAGCAGGATGTCCAGCGTTACCCAGAAGTTTAAGAATAGGAATGAGCTTCTCAGTTTCACTCTTCCTGATAAGATCTGGGATGAGATCATGGATGCTCTGTGGGATAAAGAGACAAGTATTAAAGTCTCTGCTGATGTACCTGAATATTAGTTATAGGAAATACATGTACAAATGAGATGTACCTTGACAAGCTCAGGTGGGCAAGTTGGGTTCTCATCACAGTATTTAGCAACCATGGTGCCATACCCCAGCATGGCAATCTCACGCAGAACTGGGTTTTCTTGGATCTTTTCCTTCTTAACCAGGGTCTGTGGAGTGGTGAAATGAAGAATTGATTACATGTTCATGTTCTTACAGGGTTGAAAATACAGAAGATCCCTTTAAATGTCGGCTTGCCTCAAAAGTCTTGACAGACTCCAAGTCAGCTGTCACCATGTGCACAGATGCTACCAGGGCTTGAGCAAGTTCGGGAACAGTCAGTTCACTAGCTTGGAGCTTCTCTATGAAGAACCTCAGAGCAGTGTTAGTCCCAATGGAAGGGATGGCACTCAGGAGCCAGCCCCTAAGAGAAAAAAATAGCATATTACAATATCATTCATGACTTTTGGTTTCATGGTTGTTCTCTGAATAAAAGTTGCACTGACCTATGATCACGTTGAGATTTGAACTGCCTCCAGAGGGCCTCGATAATCTCAGGCCTAGCCACACGCAACAGCTGGATGAGCTCAAGAAACTTCAGAGGGGCATCTTCATGGACCTTGGCTACATTGAAGCTCACCAGGTGGTTCAGAGTCTCAACAGCCTACCCAAAAATATGTTTTCTCTGTTATAGCATACTGCTACAGGGTGGATTCACCAAAAATCTGTGTAAGAGGGAAAGTTATCTGAATACCTGAGCCTCAGCATTACGGATTCTCAGAAGCTGGATGGGTGTTTGGAGAAGGTCCCTGCCAGCCTCAAACTGCAGGGATCCACGGTGAGGATAGTCGGCTCTGATGGGCTCCACTGTGGTCTTCTCAATCTCCACAAAGGTCAGGTTCTGCCTGTGAATGTACACAAGCGCTCAGTTAATATGCAGTGTGACATTTTGTGCTGCGAATACTACAATTACAATACTATTATTGCTCTGTCCTTTCAAATTTAAACAACGTACTTAGCCTCCATCTGGGCAGCGCCATTCATGATGTTGAAAGGAGAGAACTGAATCAGCTCTCTAGTAGTTGCCTCCAAGATCAGAACACCTGAGTCTGTTGACTTCATGATGTAGTTAAAGGAAGCAGCTCCCTTCAGGGCGTTTGCTCTCTGCATAGGCAATGGCAATAAGTTATAACACCTGCTCTAAGAGTGTACTGTAGTGTACAGGTGGTGTCAGGATACATTGCACTTACAGCCTGACACTCAGTGCATTTCTTAATGTAAGCCAAGCCAATGTCCTCCATGATTCTCTCCTGGCAGTGGTTCATGTCCTTGGTCTTGGTCAGAAAGATGCGTTCAGCCTTTGCATCCTCACCGATGACGTAGTGGGTCTTGCACACACCCTGAAGTCCAGGCTAGTTCACGAAAATCATAATAGGGTTTGTCAGGTTAAGTTTTAGAGCATTTTGTGGGTGTAACCTTTTGAAATAAGTCATTCATACCTCTTGCAGCTCATAAACGTTCTGAGTCTTCTTGATGTTCAGCTGGAAGACGTTGAGGATACCCCTGAAGATGTTCAGCACAGTTGTAGAGATACCAGCTGGCGCAAACACTTTACCTACAACACCGTTTGTATACTCAAACTTGATGGGTGTCAAGAGCTGAGCAGCCAGGGCTGAGGTGAGCTTGGAGGCTGGGGTGAAATTATCTTTGGGCCAGATGCCGCTGTACTCAAAGATTTCAGGGTCTTCCAGCTGCAAGGACAAAATGACAGTTTGCATGAATGAATATAAGATAAAACTGTCACATAAATGTATTATTCTTGTTTACACATACAATCATGATAAAATTGCTGTGATACTTACTTTCAGCATGAAGGTGTCGGCAGTGGCTGCAGAGATCTTAACTTTGCTGAGGACTTTCACTCCAGCTCGTGCCAGACCCTCCTCAGGCAGGCCATTCAAGATTTTTGCTTCATATTTGTACACGTATGTCCTTTTAGGAGCAAACTCTGCAGATACAATAATATTGAAATATCACTGATGGAAATTTGCTTTAAATGCTCAGAAACTCAGAATAGCCAAAGTCTGATCAATCAGCATCTGTTTCAGTAAAACTGAAACAGATTTTTTGTGTTCAACTATTGCATTTGTTTAGTCAAAGTTAAAAAACTTACCAATGTTGACCTGGTAACCCGCTGCAAAATAGATATTTAAGGTTATTTGTGTTCATACAGCACAAACATATGAAAAAGCAGTGACATTTTAAAGGAAGAACAAAATAGGCATTTGACATTAGAGTTGTTCAAAAGCTAGAATAATAAAACTGAAGAAATTAATGTATATTTTTCTGTGCTGGGATTAGTTTTATATCAACAGCATTAGTGCTAGTATTTCTCTTAATTCACTATTTCTTCTCTTTTCTTTCTAATAAAGGGAAAATCAGTGGGAAATGACACTCTTCTTGTTGTGTAGTGCTATTAATTTTTTAATGGCAGTGTTTTCAGAAAATTAAGCTAAAGCCTTGTTTAAGCTGATCTAGTTTTCAAAGCATCAAGACATACTCACCCGCAAGGGCCACAGCGAGAGCTAGTAGAAGCACCCTCATGGCTGGTGGATGTGACAGACTGCTACCGGAGGCTGTCTTTTAAAGGCAGTTTTTGCTGACCGTGCACCCATCGAAATGTATCATTAACTAAATATCAGCTTTCATGTTCATTGATGTTACTGTGCCCTGACCATTTAGATTAGACAAACAGATTGATAAAACTAGTGAAACATGTCACAGATGTAACAAGTTGTTTTAACCTGACTCTTGGCTTCCCCAGCACACCTCGTCCTGTGTCCCAGATATGAAGATTTTTTCCTGTTGTGAAATAGCACAGTTATCACAGATCACATGTAATGCTATTTTATACTAGTTTATAGTATTACACATTTATAATGCTTTATGATAAAAATGCTAGTATAGAGTGATTTTCATTTACATAAAGATGTGACAATTCCACTTCACTCAGGTGTCGTTCTGCCCTGACCTGCAATATTGTCACAACACAGTCAACATGATCCATGAACTGTTGGCAATCCAAAACCAACAATTCATCATATGTTTACCTAACTTTTACTGTCACAGTGTTTCAGAATCAACAAATGAAGTTTAAATTGAAACTGTATCAAAAATCACATCCATCAAAATTCTGGTGATGATGATACCTGTTGGTATTGTGTCATACAAAGCTTTAAGGCAGTCAGTAAACCACAAATGAAATTACTGACTATCCAGCAAAATTTTAAATTAAGATGAAATCATGAAATGAAGGATAAACTAATTGTTAAAGCTTTTTAAAACCATTTCATCTCTTCAACACGACCTTAGCAGTTTGGCTTTATACCTACTGTATAGAGCAGTATGTTTAAATGTGATTATATGCTATGGAACCAGGTATTAAAAAAGAAGTTACAACATATGACAAACAATCCACATGAAACATATTTAAGTAAGTAACACTAATGAACAGCAGGTGAAGTCATTTAATCATCAGTCTAGTGAGACAGCATGTAATTCTATTCCCTTTACATGTAGATTCTGAAATACGATCAATGCCTACAGTTTTCAGAATAGATGGGTTACCATTATGTTTCTCTTTAGAGTGTCTGGCCATGGGATGGTTTGCGTCCTAAGGATGTATTTATGTTGAGCCAGCCCATCTTGTAATCTCCATTTTGTTCTTTCTATATAAAAAAACTATGCAAAGAGGATGTTCCAATTTGTATATAATAGCAGGACTTATAATTTTTTTTAATTTTGCTACTTTTACTTAAGTAAAAAACCTGA